TTGGGCTAGAATTGAGGATTTTGCATGGTAAAAAAAAAAAAAGAGCTAGGATTTGTGCAGTTCCCTTGAGTTCATTAAGATGTGCCTTGCTAACCTCTTGCTAAATAATTGAAAAGGAGAGAATAAGCCTCCAGGGCCATCCGGGTTTGCTTTTCTTCACTGCTGTAAGTAAAACCTAAAAATACGTAATATTCTGTTAGAGTTAGGGCAAGGGGAATGAACAGTCTGGAAAGAGAAGTCCTTTTTAGGTCAAAATATTTAGTAAAATTGCCGCCTCCAACAATTAGGAAGGCAGGAAATCTCCTTCCCCAGCTTGTAGCTAGTCAAAGTATCTGAAAAGAGCCAGCTTGTGTGTGTGGCTGTTTTTTGTTGCCTTGGGTAAGGTGTTGCAAGTCAAGTGTGAAGTCAAGTTAAAAAGGGAATAAAGTGGAAATTCTGAACCCTCACTAAGTTGAAAAAGCCAACTGTTTATGTATCTTGAAATAGCAGAAGAAAAGACTTGGCTTAGAGATTTTTCATAGCCGTTTAAGACTTCTTGGCGTACACAACCAACCAACCAACCAAACAAACAAAAACAACAGAAAATAAAAATAAGCTAAAGCCAAATCAAACTGATAGAGTTCTCTTCTCATTTAAGCCTACTGTTTCAGATTTTTTCACAGCTGCCACCATTACAAAGAGGGCATTAAAAATGGGTTGAGCAAAGAAGCTAGGATTTAAGGCAAGTTTGCTAACTACTTCGAGAAATAACTTTGGGTGTGGTTACTGGCATCTGAAACTGTCTGAAAGCACGTAGAACTTATTGAATATTCAATGGAATTATTTAAGTTAAAAAAAGCAAGCACCCCGAAAGCCTGGCCTACAAAAGCCTTCAAGTGTTCAAGCACTAAGGCATTCTCAAAAAGGAAATACACTCAACATCCAGTTAACTTGTATTCAGAAGGTAAAGCTTGCACCCACACAACACAACAAACAATAGAAATCCTCTCAGCAGAACCAAGGACTGACCAAGGAACTTATTCCAGTATCAGGGCAGTGAGTATCCATACTTCCTTCCCATGATTCTGCCATTGTTATGGACCAGTAACTGCTGTGTTTCCCATTCTTCCTTTGTCTGAGTTTTAACTGTGATTGGCCTGTTTCTGCTCCACTGTTGGTTTGTATTGGATGTATGGGCATAGGACACATCAGTTGTTTTACAGTGTATACATCTCTGGACTATAAAACACCACATCCCAATGTGATAGGTTTCTGCATCACCAGATATCCTGAATTTTTAGCTGATGTAGAAATTGAATGGGAAATTGAGCTTTCTTCCTTAGGGAAGGAGGAAGTAGGCTCTACTGTGAGAAGAAGCTATATTATTCAGGTTCTCCAGAGAGACAGAACCAATAGGAGATATACACACACACACACATAAAAAATATGATATGAGAGGGGAATTATTAGGGGAATTGGATCATGTGATATGTGATTGTGGGGGCTGAGAAGTCCCACATCAAGCAGTCTGCAAGTCAGAGACTCTGGGATGCTGGCAGCATGGCTTAATCCAAGTCCGAAGGCTTGAGAACCCAGGGTGCTGCTGGTATGAGTCCTGGAGTCCAAGGCCAGGAGAAGAAGTGTGTTTCTCAGCTTTAGGACAGAGACCAACTCACCTTTTCTCTGTTTTTGTTTTCTCTGGGCCCAGCTAACTGGATGGTGCCTGCCCACACTGAGGGCAGATCTTCCTCACTTTGTCTACTCAGACTCACATGCCAATCTCCTCTGGAAACACCCTCACAGACACACACTAATATAATGCTGTAACAGTTAGTTTTCTTGGTATTCCTTAATCCACTCAAGTTGATACCTCAAATTACCATCAGAGGACATGTGGATATTTAGGTGGTCAGAGGGACATACTGTAGTGGAGACTGCTGATTGTCCCTCTAAACTCATTCTTTCCTATTTCTGGGCACAAGGCTGCCCAACTGGAAACTAAATTTCTAGTCTCATTGGTGGTCATATGATTAAGTTCTTGTTAATGGAACATGATCCGAATTGATGTGGGCAATCTCTACCTTACTTTCTGATATGGTTTGTCTCTGTACCCCTACTCAAATCTCATGTTGAATTGTAATCCCCAATGTTGGGCAAGGGACCTGGTAGGAGGTGATTGGATCATGCAGGCAGATTTCCCTCTTGTGTTCTGATGATAGTGAGTGAGTTCTCACAAGATGGGGTTGTTTGAAAGTCTGTAGCACCTCCCCCTTTGTGTTCTCTCTCTCTCCTGTCATCACGTGGTGACATACTTGCTTCCCCTTTACCCTTCCACCGTGATTATAAGTTTCCTCAGGCTTCCCTAGCCATGCCTTCTGTAAGGCCGTGGAACTATGAGTCATTTAAACCTCTTTTCTTTAAAAATTACCCAGTCTCAGGGAGTTCTTTATAGCAATGTGAGAACAGACTAATATACATTCTTTTGTTACTTATTTTATTTTTTTTTGAGATGGAGTTTCACTCTGCCACCCAGCTGGAGAACAGTGGCGCGATCTCGGCTCACTGCCTCCTGTGTTCAAGTGATTCTCCTGCCTCAGCCTCCCAAGTAGCTGGGACTACAGGCACCCGCCACCACGCCTGGTTATTTTTTTGTGTTTTTAATAGAGACAGAGTTTCACCATGTTGACCAGGCTGATCTCGAACTCCTGACTTCAGGTGATCTGCCTGCCTTGGCCTCCTAAAGTGGTGGGATTACAGGCTTGAGCCACCACGCCTGCCTGAGAACAGACTAATATACATTCTTAAAAGAGATTCCTTCTTTAGGTATTCTTCTCTTTCTCTTTCCCATTAGAGGGAATATGCCATTTATCACACATCAAGATGGCAAAACTCCAAAAGTTTGACAGACTTTGTAGGCAAGCCTGTAGGAAACTGTACCCCTATATATTTCTGGTAGGAAGGCAAAATGATACCATTCCTACAAAGTACAATTTGGCAGGATCTACCAAGATTGTATGTCTATCCTTTGCCTCATTTCTGGTAATGTTTTCTACCTGTACATATATAATGTATGTAAAGGTTATTCATCGCAGCATTGATTAAAAATAACTTGTGTCCTATAAGGATTAAATAAACTAAGACACACCCTTGCTATGTAATATCTTCTAGCTCTAAAAAGAGTGATTTTGAAAGACTGGACAGCTGGTAAGATGTCCAGCTGTCTTAGTCTGTTTTCTGTTGCTTATACCAGAATACCTGAAACTGGGTAATTTATAAAGAAAAGGAATTTAAATCTTACAGTTATGAAGGCCAAGAAGTCTAAGGTCAAGGGACCACATCTAGTGAGATCCTTCTTGCTGGTCAGGACTTTAGGCTAGAGTTCAGAAGCAGCACAGGGTATCACATGGCAAGGGAGTGACCTTCCTAACATGCTAGCTCAGGTCTCTTCCTCTTCTAATAAAGCCACATGTTCTCTCCCATGATAACCCATTAGTCCACGAATGGATCAATTCCTCAGGGTTTTGTCCTCATGATCCAATCACCTATTTAAGACCCACCTCTAAATGTTGCCACATTAAAGATTAAGTTTCAACATGAGTTGTTTGTTTTCTTTTTCATTTAATTTTAATTTTTATTTTTTGAGATGGAGTCTTGCCTTTTTTTTTGAGACAGAGTTTAGCCCTTGTTGCCCAGGCTGGAGTGCAGTGGTGCAGTCTTGGCTCAACGCGACCTTCGCCTCCCAGGTTCAAGTGATTCTCCTGCCTCATTCTCCTGAGTAACTGGAATTACAGGCATGTGCCACTACGCCTGGCTAATTTTTGTATTTTTAGTTGAGACAGGGTTTCTCCATGTTGTTCAGGCTGCTCTCGAACTCCCAACCTCAGATGATCCGTCCGCCTCGGCCTCCCAAAGTGCTGGGATTACAGACGTGAGCCACGGCACCCAGCCCTCAACTTGCGTTTTGGAGAAGACAATTATTTCAAACCATAGTACCAGGAAAAGTGCAAAACAACAACAACAACAACAAAAAACAAAGCAGAACAATTATGTGGTGTTACTTTTTGTGAAAGGAGAGGTAAAATTTTATATTTATTAATATTTGCTTGTATTTGCAGAAACTCCATAAGAATACATGAGTATTGAATATCATATAAACGCAGGCGACCATATAATCTTCCATTGAAATGCAACCATTTCTAGAATGAAAGGGGGGATGTTATTTAATTTAATTAATTAATTTATTTATTTAGAGACGGAGTCTTGCTCTATCGCCCAGGCAGGAGCGCAGTGGCGCAGTCTCGGGTCACTGCAAGTTCCGCCTCCCGGGTTTTACGCCATTCTACAGCCTCAGCCTCCCGAGTAGCTGGGACTGCAGGCGTGCACCACCTACGCCCAGCTAATTTTTTTGTATTTTTAGTAGACGGGGTTTCACCGTGTTTAGCCAGGATGGTCTCGATCTCCTGACCTCGTGATCCGCCCGCCTCGGCCTCCCAAAGTGCTGGGATTACAGGCGTGAGCCACCGCGCCCGGCCGCAAGGGGGTATATTATTAATCACTACTCCAGGACGACAGAGGGAAAATGGCCTTGTACTGGACAAACTGGAATATCTGATCAACCTTTATAAAGTGCATGGAGTGGGAGGAGGAATGGGGACTTTTTAATTGTATTTCTAAAAAGTATCGTCTGTGGTGAATCAGAAACAAAACTCGTTCTTTACCACAGGCAGTTTAAGCGCTGCCTGAAAGACCTAAGGACGGTAAACCACAGACATGAGACATGGAACTTTGCGAAAACGCAGTCGTTTTACGTACCGGGTACTTATTGGAGTTACACTAGAGACTCACTCCTGGAGTTCATCAGCCAATCCAAAGTCCGAGCGTGAGAGCCAGAGACTGTAGGAGAGGGCTGGGCAGGCCTCAGACCTGAGGAGTGGAGCCCCGCATCACTCAACCCTGAGGGCGGAGCTAGCCCAGGCTCCCACACCCGACGCTCTGGCCCACACAGACGCTACTCTGTAGCATCTCAGGTTCCCTCTGGCTGCACTCTGGAGGACCACACTCGTTTTCTTTTTGGCTGCCAGAGGCCCCGCATCCACCGCTGAGCTGGGAGAAAGATGGCGGCAGCCGTGCGACAGGATTTGGCCCAGCTCATGAATTCGAGCGGCTCTCATAAAGATCTGGCTGGCAAGTGAGTATTTCCCAGCAACGCGGGACTACAGAGGTGGGGAAAGAAAGCCACAGCCTTAATCTCCTTAGGTTGGCCACGACTCTTGGGCGTGAAGCTAGGAACCGGCCTGACGACCAAGGGGGCGGGCCTGAGGTCGGCTAGGGAGGCAAATGTTGGGAGAAGCAGAGAGCTGGAGGGGACCTTGTGCAGGGGCCTTCGAGGCCATAGACTTGGGATGACTGTCAACTTGTTCAGTTATTGATAGAATCTCTCTGGTCCCTTAGGATTTTGGAAGAGCGGTCTGACAGACGACTGCTACCCTGGCCTTAGTAGCCTTCCCTGGTACCTCTTCCTATCGCTGGCCGGCCTCACACCAAATCTGGCCTCTCGTTGGACGTTCCTCCTCCTTTTTTTGATTCAGAGAAATGTATATTCTGGGGCCTTGATGCTGTGTTTTTCGGGGAGATGGCTTCTTGGGGCTGGCTGAGACTGAGGAGGTATGGCCGCTGTCATGTGGTCCAGACCACTCAGACTGTCTTCTGTGGGTCCTTGTGTTTCGGGTATTTTCTCCGCCACCAACTCTGAAGGCACATAGGCGGAATGTGCTCATATCGCGGATCAGGTTGTCTAGAGTAGTGATGTTTGCAGGAATCTGAATTTTGTCGAAATTCATATAGAATGCTTAGGTTCACTCCAAGTTAAAATGTGTGACGTGCCTGTTGTGCAAGCAGTTGTTCAACAGTATTAAGCATAGGTAGGTAGACGTATATTGTTCATTTTCTCTTTGTAGATGTCACAGCACTGATCTTTTGTAATGAACTTAAAGTATGCCTCTCTAGGCCGGGTGCAGAGAGGCTGAGGTGGGAGGATCACTTGAGGCCAGGAGTTCTAGACTAGCCTGGGCAACATAGTGAGACCCCCGTCTCCATAAATAAATAAATAAGTAAATAAAGTATGCCTCTCAAGTTGATCTTAATGTTTACATCCTGACAGCTGAAATCACTTTATGTATGTTAATGGGATACACCTGCTCTAACCTGGTCATCGAAATTCTGACTGTTTTAAGTAGGCTAGGCTGCCTTTTCTCTGGTGGTAAATGTAATCTACTTTTATCAGTGGGAAATTCAGCCGTATATTTTGGGTGTAACTACTTTGTGCTGCATTTTCCCATTCAGGAAAATGAAGATAATAATAGGACATATTCTTGTCTGAGATTATCTGAAGACAAGATGAGTCTCTGTGTGCATATATACTTACCACACTTATATCACCTAGAACAGTACCTGACATATAGAAAGTGCCGCAAGATTGTTGTTACTATCACTAAGCTGTCAGTAATATATATTCACTTATTGTATGGGTTGGAAATAAATATATCTTCATGGCTTAATCCTTTTTGCTTGTAATTTTGTAGATATGGATGAAAGTAAAAGCAGCTTATATTTTTTCCCCCATGTTTCCTTTACTTTTTATTTTGTAAAAGAAAAATAAGTGCATTAGTTATCAGAAGAAATTAGAGCTTTTCATGTATTTGCAGAGTTCTGAAACTTAAGTATTTACTTTTTCAGGTCTGAATTGGAGATAAACAATAGTATTTATAGGGTACTTCAGTTATCTGTTGCTTTGTAACCAAAAACTTACCAGTGTAAAACAACTGTGATTTCTCAGGATTCTATGGATTGACTGGACAGCTCTTCTGGTCTTGTCTGGGCTCACTTATGCAGATATAGTCAGCTGGCAACTCACCTGGGGCTGGACTCACATGCATATCTTGCTCTCAGCAGGATCTGTCTCTCTCTGCACATAGTCTCTCATTCATTAGTTTAGCTTGGGCTTTCTTAGGTGGCTATGAGAGGGGAAGTCACAAGACCTCTTAAGGATAGCCTAGAAAGTCTCACATCAATTCTCTAGTACTGGTAAAAGTAAATCAGAAGACCAGCCCAGATTCAAGGGGAGGGGAAATGGAGCCTACTACTGCCTCTTTAGTGGCAAAGTTACATTGCAAAGGAGCCTGGACAGAGGGAGACATGATTCATTGGAAGCCATTACTGTAGCAATCTACCACATGGTGTTGTGAAGATTAAATGAAATAATGTGCTTGATAACTGATAGCCAGTGCTGTGTTAGCCAGCAACTCCTTCAGAGCTGCTTTCTGAGAAAAGTCTTGGGCTTGCTTGCAGTTCCTATCTGAGCAAGAAAGTATCAGAATATTTATCCTTATAACAACATCAGTTCTACCAGCTACATGCTTGAAGAGAAATACCCTTGAAATATATCAGTGTTTTTTTTTTTTTTTTTTTTTTTTTGAGACGGAGTCTGGCTCTGTCCCCCGGGCTGGAGTGCAGTGGCCGGATCTCAGCTCACTGCAAGCTCCGCCCCCTGGGTTTACGCCATTCTCCTGCCTCAGCCTCCCGAGTAGCTGGGACTACAGGCGCCCGCCGCCTCGCCCGGCTAGTTTTTTGTATTTTTTAGTAGAGACAGGGTTTCACCGTGTTCACCAGGATGGTCTCGATCTCCTGACCTCGTGATCCGCCCATCTCGGCCTCCCAAAGTGCTGGGATTACAGGCTTGAGCCACCGCGCCCGGCCTTGTATGTACTTTTAATGAAGGTTTTTGGGGATTTTTTAGGAGCTGAGAAACAAAGGATTCCATATTAAAGAATAATGGAGTACATTGTTTCTAAAACATCAATACTGTGTGTTCCTAGCAATTGGGATATCTATAACAACAGTTGCTCAATACATGTGGTTGAATTAATGAATAGCTAGAAAGGGGCAGAGCTTGTATTTGAACCCAGGTTCATCACTCTAAAAAGCTCATTTTAAACCTACCAGACTATGCTCGTTTTCTTGTTAAAAACTCAATTAGAAATGCTTTCCCATAACTGTGGATTAACACAGCTGTCTAAAGTTTATGTAAGAAATTAGTCAGATGAAAAGCATTTTCCTCCATTTTGCAGGCTGTTTTTGTGCATATTATGTGTTGTGTTTATTATCTCACATAAAGATTTAGAATAGGAGAGCTACAATGGAGGATAGACTATATTGAGGAGAGACCTCAAAAGCCCCTTGTAACTCAGATTCTGATTCTCTATTTGTTGTCCCAAACACAACCATTTTAGTGGTTTTCATCTCTAGAGTGAAAGTTGGTAACATGTAGAGTTTACTGTGCGAAGCACAACATTACTTACATTTAAAAATCCTTAATAAGTAGGAGTAAGTGATATTATTTACATTATAGTAAGAGAAGACCAAAGTACAGAGTTGAAATACCTTTCTGAGGTCACACAGCTAGTGGTGAAGCTAGAAGACAGTCCATGTCTGCTTGCCTACGAGCCCTTAACTCTAAACAAACACATCTACCTTTTTGGCCTTATTTTCACCAAAAAAAATTGACCACACTTCAGATAGTGATTATTTTTGCCTAGAATGCCTGCCTTCCTACTGTTATTAAATTGAAATGCTTAGATTTTAAAGATCAACCCCATCCAATTATTTCTGTCTCCTAAAAATTATATTAGCACTTACCTATTTTTTCTGTTTGTTTGTTTTGTTTTGTTTTGAGACGGAGTTTCATTCTTGTCACCTAGGCTGGAGTGCAGTGGCGTGATCTTGGCTCACTATAACCTCTGCCTCCCGGGTTCAAAAATTCTCCTGCCTCAGCCTCCCAAGTAGCTGGGACTACAGGTGCACGCCACCACACTTGGCTAATTTTTTTGTGTTTTTAGTGGAAACAGGGTTCACCATGTTGGCCAGGATGGTCTCAGTCTCTTGACCTTGTGATCCGCCTGCCTCGGCCTCCTAAAGTGCTGGGATTACAGGCGTGAGTCACTGCGCCTGGCCAGCACTTACCTGTTTTTAAGATTTTGTCTTTAATTTTGTTTAGCTTCATTATGATATGTCTGTGGATTTGTTTTTACTTTTCTATGTCAGTTACCCTTTGCCGTGAAATAAACCCCAAAACTTAGGGCTTAAAACAACAGTCACTTATTTAGCTCGTAATTCTGTAGGTTGGTAGTTTGGATTGGGCCCAGCTGTATGGTTCTTTTCTGCTCCACATGGTCTTGGTTCCACTGGGCTCCCATGTGGGTCTGTAGTTAGCTGCCGGCTGGGCCAGGTGGGCAACTCCACTTCTGTGGATTGGCTGGCTTGTTGGCTGGGGCAATATAGTTGACTGGGCTACATATCTCATTAGCCAGTAAGTTAGCCTGGGCCTGTTCATGTGACAGCAGCAGGATTCCAAAAGACAAACACATACAAGGCCTCTTGAGGTCTAGGCTCAGAACTAGCACTTCATTTCTACCACGTTCTATTGGTCAACTCCAGATTCAAGGGGTAGGGAAATAAAGTCTACCTTTTGATATGAAGAGCTACAAAGTTATATTGTAAAGGGACATGGGTACTGGGAGTGAAATTATTGTGGCCGTTTTTTATCCTGGTCCAGCTTCGCTGGGTTTCCTGAATCAATGGATTAAAAGGTTTCATCAGTCTTGAGATGTCTTCAGTTATATCTCTTTATTTTATTTTAGAAACAGGGTTGCCCTGTCTCTGTTGCCCTGGCTTGAGTGCGATAGAGAGATCACAGCTCACTGCAGCCTTAACATGCTTGGCTCAAGCAATCTTCTTGCTTTAGCATCCTGAGTAGCTGGGGCTATAGGCACATGACACCATGCCTAATTTAAAAACATGTTTTTTTTTTTTTTGGGTGGAGATGGGGTCTCCCTATGTTGCCCAGGCAGGTCTCGAACTCCTGGGCTCAAGGGATTCTCCTGCCTCGGCCTACAAAAGTGTTGGGATTACAGGTGTGGGCTACTCTGCTTGGCCTGTATCTCTTTAAATGTTGCCCCTGCCCCATTCTGTTTCTCCTCTAGGCTCCAGTGAAATCCCTGTCAGGCCCACTGACTATAACCTCTAGCCATCTTACTCTGTCTTTCATTTTTTATTTTTTATTTATTTTTATTTATTTATTTTTTGAGAGAGAGTCTCGCTCTGTCACCCAGGCTGGAGTGCAGTGGCGTGATC